CGGCGCCACCAAAGAGACGGGCTAGAGGGTATCCCGCAGAGAGGAGCTAAAGGGATGAGATTAAGGACCACTTGGGCTAAACTTCAGCACGCAGAAAAAACTGGGGGGAAGAGGTGGAGCCCCTGGGACGTTGCAAGGGCACGTGGGGCGCCAGCCAGCGCTGGCAGGCAGCGCCCGAGCGCTAGAGGGGCTCCTCCGTTTCTGGACTCGGTGATAAATCCCAAGTAGGAACCGCCACAGGAACCGCTGCTCTGGCACAAAGCAAACAGCCCCTCTGTCTCCAGGGGAAATCAGCGCCACATACTTCAAGGAAAGATGCTGAGCACCCGTGAAGCACCTAGCAGGGCGATGCTCTGCCCCAGGGGTAACTTCCTTCTCTCTTAGGTGTTTTCGCAGCTCGTGCCCCGAAGCACGAGACGGGGAGACCTTGTCACACGGTCTCCAACGAGGGTAAGCCTGAGCTCCGAGGGCCCCTCGTTTCTTTAAACCACTAACAAACATTGTGCATGCTGCCTCTCATCCCAGAGCAGATCTCGATTTTATAATTTTTTTTTTTTCCCCGGGAAGTTGGGCAAAAAATAGAAGAGGAACTTAAACATCATGATGTTCCAAAAATGTATCAGCTTGACTCATAAGATCTTCAAAGCAGCTCATCTCCATAGTGTTTTATTGGCCTTCCGAAAGAGAAGCACCATTTTAGTGTCTTGTTGTTGGAGGTGGAGGTGGATTAGTGCAGAAGCTAAATGGATGCATGACTAAAAACAGCTCCCAGTATCCTACAAGAAGAATTATGTCTACACTTGAATTTACAATCATGCTTGTCAATGTCTGTTAATTAACCTGTGTTGAAATACAATTATTCAAGTCAGTAAAGTTTTTTTTTTTTTTTTAAATGCCGGTGGGATAGAGGAACCGGAAGGGCTGCCTACTGTTTAAAAGATCGCTCTAAGTCAAGGAGTATTTGCTTTTTCCCTTGGCCAAATCGGGCTTCAGCTCCCTACTGCTTGTCGGGTTTTTCTAGGCTGTTTTGCAGAAAGCTCCTTTCCGATTTCGCACACGCGTGCCTGGAATGGAGAAACGGTCCCAGCAAAAATGAGTGTCCTTTGCCACATGCCAGCGCAACATCTCCCTCGCTTCCAGCCCTTTGCCTTGTCTTTTTTGCTAGCGGGGTAGGACCTGCTTTGGCAACAGCCTCCCGGAGAGCTGTCTCACGACGCCCGCCTGCGCGAGAAGGGACGCCGGGCCAGGGCGAGCGCGAGCCATGCTCCGGCGCGCGGGCCCAGCGCCGCAGAGGGATGGGACCCACGACGGGCATCCGGGCCGGCTCTGTCCAAAGCAGGTCCTACCCCGCTAGCAAAAAAGACAAGGCAAAGGGCTGGAAGCGAGGGAGATGTTGCGCTGGCATGTGGCAAAGGACACTCATTTTTGCTGGGACCGTTTCTCCATTCCAGGCACGCGTGTGCGAAATCGGAAAGGAGCTTTCTGCAAAACAGCCTAGAAAAACCCGACAAGCAGTAGGGAGCTGAAGCCCGATTTGGCCAAGGGAAAAAGCAAATACTCCTTGACTTAGAGCGATCTTTTAAACAGTAGGCAGCCCTTCCGGTTCCTCTATCCCACCGGCATTTAAAAAAAAAAAAAAAACTTTACTGACTTGAAAAATT